CAAACTAAGCTATTGAAGCATTGGCAGTTCGAGCCAAGAATTAATTACATCCCTACAATATTTCGAACAGAGCCATAAACTAAACTTTTAAAATCGAACAATATTATTATATATTTTTATTATTAATTTATGTTTTTTTAATGTATAAAAGTATATATTATTATATATTATTATATGATAAAAGTATTATATAGATGTATTCACGGTAGCTACAGAAATTCAATAGTACAGTAGAGTTACCATTAAAATACTTCTCTACTAAGATTGAATCAGTTAAAATGTAAAGACAAGAGTAAGTTAATTCATTCTTAATCAATTTCAAAGATATTTCTGTACAATGTATATTGTAAATACTTTTGCAGGTTGTTCATTCATCAACTTACTTTTTTTATAAATTACATTTTTATAAATTACTTTTTCCTCTGACCATTACAAATTTTTATATTTTATTCTTATATTTTAAGAATATTAAAAAAGAGGGAAATATATATGTATGTAGCAAAAAATATTAATAATACTATTATATAATAAAAATAAATTCTGCTGTTGAAAAATATTCAGATAAAAAAAAAAATTAAGGATATTTCATTACAATAATACAAGATTTTACCTTGTAAGATAAACTAAAATAATCTGATTATGTGATAAAATTGTAATAATTTTTAGCGAAAACATTCAAATTAATTTAATGTAAGTTTAATAGATACAGTTTACATAAGTGATATTATTTCATAAATAAAACTTAAAAAATAATATATAAATATCTGTGTAAATCTTCTTTTATAGATTATTGCATTCTTCGTCATAAAACAGTTTTTATTCAATTTTATTCTTTTTTATCTCGCAAACTTATTTATGAATTATTAAGAAAATTTATTTGAAATATATAACAATATATAAATGTAATTTTAATGTTTAATATAACAATTATATAATACTACAAGTTAATATATGGTGAATACTTAGCTTTCTTTATTCAGTTTGTAATGAATGAGGCCTATTTTATTTTTTATTTCGATACGTCATTACATATAGTAGTATTATGTAATGTAAATAATCTAATTTATTTTACGAATTGCATACATTTATATAATTATTTTAAACATTGTACATACTAAAAAGGAACTAAATATTTTAATATTAATTTTTATTTACTATTAAAATTTACTAATTTATTGTAGAAGTTTAGATAATTTTGGAATATAAATTTCAAGCATTTGAGAAAGACATATACAAAACCTAATATTGTACTTTACAATTACATATATACTTGTAATTCTACACAGCTATCGTAATTAACTTATACGTAGTTTGCCCATTTCAAAAGCTAAAGTAGTATAATTATTTTACTATCCTTCCATAAATAGTGTATTTCAGAATAAAAAGTAAATTATCAAAGAAATTTACAATTAAGGAAAAGAAGTCTATTTTTTAGAGTGAAATTTAGTTGCAACATTTAAAAAAATAATAATAAAAAAAGAATTGTCGTTAATCAACTGAATCATTTATTCAGATGGTTGATAGATAAATATTTAGATCTTAGTGTTGTCATTTTATTTAGAAATTATTTTTTGCAAGAAAATTGTTTCATATTTTATATGAGCACACGTAAATTAATTTAATTAAAGTTATGTACATTTACAGGTACTTGCCAGAATCTCCAAGGTGGTTACTTGCAAAAGGTCGTTTAGAGGAAGCAAATCAAGTGTTGCTTATTTTGGCCCGTACTAATGGTAAAGAATTACCAGTTTTTTTTTGTGAAAAAGTACAGAAACATATCGAGCACCAACAGTCTCATAACCAAAAAGATAAAATTGATGGTCCAAACATTCTTTCTCTTTTTAAAACTCCGAATATGCGTCTGAAAACATGTCTAATAACATTAAATTGGTATGTTATATTGGTATATTATATTTATTTATTTTAAAATTTTATATTTTATTTATTTAAAAAAATGTATATATAAGAAATTATTTAATAGTACAGTATTCAAATAATATACAATCTATTCTCGTTGTAGTATTTATTGCATATAAAAAGTAATCGAATATATATTTTGTGCAATTATAAGTAATATTTATAAGTATTGGAAAGGATATGATACAGCCTTTTTTATCCCCTTTGATAATATTTATAGATAATTAAAATATTTTATTAAAAAAAATTTATTACTCATTCTATCTTTCTTCGCACTAGTACTATTTTATATTTTCCAATTTACATTTTATAATTCAATTTATTTTTATTATTTATTTGGATTATATTATTTCTTTCAAATTTTTTCATTTGTAAAAATATTTTGATCAACATTGTAGAAAAAAACGTACGTGATTCTATTTTAAAAATTAGCATCATTAGACAAATATATATTTCTATCTTTATTTCGCTTTTTCAACTTCTGATATGGAGGCATAATACCATCATTAATTGCATTTAATTAAATTTTTATTTATTTTGAACATTATTAAATAATTTTCTACTATAATATAGACCTATTAACTGAAGTTATTCTTGAATTAAATAATGTTATTAAAAATATTAGATAATTGCTTAACTATATTGTATTAAAATTTCAATTATTTTATTAGTTATACATTATAATGAAATTTTCTTAAGAATATATTGTATATACTGAGCTTATATATACTGAAAGATCTTTCTTAATTTTTACTGTGAATTTCAACTTTTTTATATTATAAAATAGTCAAAATTTATTTAATTAAAAAATTTTAAATGTAAGAGAAATATATAATGATATAATAATGAAATTATTATTATTATGAAATATATAATAAAACTATTTATTACTGTTATTAAATCAATAACAGATTGAATATTCATATTAACATGTCATTTATGATATTAATACAATACGGTGTAATTACAATATTATTATTACAAGAATTTTATAAAAGTCTTCTTAAAGATTTATATGTTTATAGGTTTGCTAATAATATGGTTTATGTTGGATTATCTTATTACGGCCCAACATTAGGTAATGAGGAACATCTTAGTTTCCTTTTTTCTTCACTTGCTGAAATTCCAAGTTACATAGCGTGTTGGATTGTGATGGATCGCTGTGGCCGTCGTTGGCCATTATGCTTTTGCATGGTTATAGCAGGTCTATCGTGTGTGACCACAGTTTTATTACCACCAAGTAGGTATATTTATTATAGTGTTACATGAAATATAACGACAGACGCTCAATCACCAGCTAAAGTTGTTTTTTCTTGACAATATAAGAATATTAAGGGTATAAAGTTTAACTAAATTTTCGAAATAAAAAAATTATTTTTATAGTTATTTATATAATAGAGAATTTCTCTTTATATATTATTAATTAAAAAACATTGTAATAATGTTAAATATATTATCCATTATAGTATCGAAAATGTAATTTTGGTAATCCATGAAGATTTCTAAACATAATTATTTATTATAATGTGTTTAAAAATAGTGTACCGGGCGAGGAGGGCCAAGTAAATAAGGTTAGATCTGAGCTTGCTTCTAGAAGTTTCGAAGGCGTCCCTTTTTTGTGAGTGTTGGCAATAAATTATATTTTAGATCGTAAACTTGCTCGGACTTGCCGGCTAGGCGCACGTGATGGTCAGCCTTGCTGCACGCGCGGTCAGTCTAGGCACACATGCGGTATGCCGGACTGCGTATATGACCTTTCTTTTGTTTGAAATTCATGGGACTACTTCAATCCCGAACACTTACTGTATAATTCTCAATTTGTATGAATTATAATGTAATTTTTAATATTATGCATGTATATGTAAATATAATTTTGTAATAAATTATATTTAAATATATTTTTCATTAATTTGTTTAATTATACTAAAAATATATAGGTAATAACAATTTTTTTAAAGGAGCATGTTCGGAAAATAATCCCACAATTTGACTAGTCAGCCAAACGTGCAATAATTAACTTAGAACAATAAAACCCACTAGATGTTATGTGGGGTTGTTTGACTGCGTTTTTAATTGACTTGTTCTTTTTCTGTTAGATAAGATAAGATAAGTTATTGTGCCATGCCGGCGTTGCCTTTTTTAAAGCCTTCTCTCGAGCACGCGGTGGTTGGTGAGAATTCCCTCTCTTTTGGTGTCGCCAATCAGAGCTGTCTTGTCGGTCATGGCGTTCCCAATAAGATTTAGTCTTATTAGTGTGCTCAATCAGAATTCTTCTTTAGTTTCTGGTAATTCTAATCACGGTGCTTTTCGAGTGGTGGGGTCTCCCACCAGTGAGTCTTTCCAAAATGGAGGCTCCAATGAGAGCGGGTCTTGCTCAACTCCCTTCCATGATGGGGGGTCTTGATGCCGCGCTTTTCCCTCTCCATCCTAGCATTGTTGCATGCATTTCTTATAATCATGCGCGTTGCGATCGGTCAGTGTTGTGAAGGTTAGGTGTAGCATTGTTTTTGAGTATATCATCTGGCTTGTGTTTTTCAGGATAATTTTATGATTTGTGTACGCCAGATATTTTATAATTTGTCGTCGATAGATGCTTTATGGCGAGGCCGTGTCAAATGTCTCGTAGCATTAGTTTTATGACTTGTTTTGCTGGACACTTGGAGCCTTGTTATCGCCAGATGTGTTTATGAAGTTTATTTTTTTAAGATATTCGAAGTTTTGCTGAATTGCTTAGATTTAGTTAATCCGAGGCGCGTTTTGAATGTTATTACTCGCGTAGCCGAGAGTTGCCTTTTTCGGAACTCTTATCTCGATTTCTCCAGATGTTTAATGAGCTGGGAGTTTTCTTACATTCTTGAACATAATGATATGTATACTTTCAAAATCTAAAAACTATTAGTTGAATAATCAATATTAATAATAATACAAATTTTTAATAATATACGAAGAAGTCTAATAATTTGGTAAATATGATTTGTGATAATTCAAACTACATCATAACATTTAAATTTAGAATCGTTCTAAAAGATGTTAATTGTATGTATCTTATCATTAATAAACTATTGAGGAATTTAGTTAAATTAATCTACTCACATATTAACTGTAACTAATAAAGAAGCAAAATTAAATAAAATATTTTAGTTAAAACATCTATGTTTGACATTGAATTCAGCTCATTAACAATGAATTACTTACATCTAGAAAATTATTTTTTTAATAAAAAATTAATACATTTACTTAATATCACTTTAAAAATATTGCAACGATTAAAAATGTTAAAATGAACTTATATCTAATACTGGATAAAGAATCCTTTTTGTAATGCAAAATTGAAGTTTAAAAATAATCACTATTTTTTCTGTATTCAAATAACTCTCATTAATAAATGGATAAAAATGAGTTGTTAGAGGCTATTCAACAATTAATAAGCTTTTATGATTTTTATTTGGAATTAGACATAAATAAATTAGAGTTGTTAATTCAATACAAATTATATATAAAGTATAAATTTATTGGATTATAACATAATAATTATTTAAAATTATAGATAGTTAAATAATAATTGATATTTGGTATACTTTAAATAAATCTGTTCTTTTAGTTTAATAAGAGACAGTAAAAGAATATTCATTTTGTAACACTGCTATTAATAAGCAAAATTATAATTGAAAATAATAAAAATAAAATTTATCATTATTATTTAAACCATATATATAATTTTATCATATAAAGTGATGCATAACTTATTGATATGATTCATTCTATTTCCTTATTTGACAATGCATTTGTCTCTACCTTCGATATCTTCTGAAATATTGGAAAGTAAAAAAGTTTTTACTAAAGGAATAATCTTTCCAAGTTCGCTCAGTCTCTGACGACTTTCTGATTATTTTAGTGTGTTGGAGAATTATTTCCATTAATCGGGTTCGTCAACCAAACGTGAAGAATTAACTAAGAAACCCACTAGATGTTGTGTGGGAGAATGCGTGGGCAAGTGGAAGGGCTAATGCACTGATTCAATAATTACCACATATACTTCTTACTGCTGTTTATTCCATTTATTTCCAAGTCGGGAGGATTAATCGTGATGAGATTAAAAATGAACTTTGTGTTTCTCAATTATCATGTGGCGTTGTGATATACTTTTAGCGGAGAACACTTGAAAGGTTATGATCGTTTGTTGTGCTCTGAATGAACTCTACAATTCTTTGTTTTGTCGTAATCTTAACACTTGTTGCAGTTGCCTCTGAATAGAGGCATGAAGCTCTGAAGAGCACGTGCCTAAGATAGAGGTTAGTGGAAGTGTGTGCCACTGTATGACGCGAATTGCTGGTCTTGTGTAGTGAGCATGCGCAGAAAGCTTCTGTGGTCGGCAGTTTGCGGTTCGTTTTCATAGTGAACCGTGAGGTGAAGAATCAGCACTAGTGGTAAGGACTTACTTGTAGTTGTAGTGTGATGCTCCTAGTTTCTCCTCACAGGCTTGATGGGAAGCTTCCATGCACTAACTGCTGGTTTGAACTTTCCTTGTAGTGAGCATGGGCGGGAAACTTCTGTGGTCGGACAGCTTGCGGTCCGTTTTTATAGTAAACTATGAGGTGAAGAATCAGCACTAGTGGTAAGGACTTACTTGAAGTTGTAGTGTGATGCTCCCAGTTTCTCTTCACAGGCTTGATGAGAAGTTTCCATGCACTAATTGCTGCATGTGAACTCTTCCTTGTCCCCTTTGCTGAGATGACGAGAATCTCAGTACATATGCTATTCGAGCTTGATGAGACTAAAGGTAACTGGATATTGAAGCACAGTCGTAGAAAGATATTTTATAAGACTCAGCTGATCGACTTTTCTCTGGTCCTCCTCCAAGAGAATAAGTCGTGTCTTACCTGTGCGTCTAAGAATAAGTTTGACTATCTGTGAGACTAAGTATAAGAATAAGAATAAGTGGTGGTGTATTGCATTGTCCTTCTTAAATAGTTCACTGATCCGGTACCATTTTGGACCTTTTCTTCTTTCCTGTATCCAATCAGAGTTAACTTTGAGTAGCATGATTGATCATGCACGCCTTCATTTCCATTTCCTTCCTGGCTTAGTCTTGAATATGCTAATCGGGAAAGTATCGGAAAGGCGGGGACTTTTACTATTGGTCGACTCTCCCTTCTCTGGGACATGGCTAGATGAAGGGTCCTTTAGGGCGTGGTCGATTCTCTAACGCGATGGACATGATGCGGCGTAGTTAGGAACAATGCCAGCATTGTCTTAAGAAACCGAGTGCGCACGTACGCCTATTGCTTGTTGTCGCACGTGCAGGGTTTTGGATTGCAGTGAAATTTAGGAAATGTTTTGTACTTGATAATTTTACGTATATCTGATATTCTTTCAGAATCTAAGTCTTCTTGGCAGTGAACAACAAGATCGTTTAACTGCATCGGAAAAGCATGAGCACATTTTCAGATAAGCGAGAATGAATAAGCTAACTATTCACGGGTGTTTTCCAGATGTATTAACTGTTTCGAGTGTCCAATGACCGTGGGAAGTCGTGGCAATGAAATGGTTCTCTCAATCTCGAACATAGTGAATTGATCCTTTTTAATGATAATTTTTCATTTTATTATGTTATAAGAATATTTATTGTTTGTCATTGTATTATAAATATCCGTTGTTTGCTTTTATTTAATAAATAAATACGCAAAGTAAATTCTTTTTTAATTTATTACTGATATAATTATTATTTAAAATTGTATCAAATAAGTTACAAATGCATATTAATTATATATTTAGAACATTAATTTAATAATATTTAATATTAATTCGATTCTTCGCATACATTTAATAAATTTATATTCATTTATTATTATTTTACTTAGGCTTTAATTATTAATTACGAACATACGCTTTTATTATTATTAGAAGTGAAATTATACATTATTATTTATTTTTATTACAAAACTGATATTTTTACATATATTTCACATCACCTATTGATTATACGATTATAAGTGTAACTTAAGATGAGTTCTCATTATCGTAAGAAACTGTTAAATATATATATTTTTTCAATCGTACAATTTTGAATTTTATTTGAAGTTTTTTATTAATATAAGTAATTAATCATATACAATAATTTAAGTTTGTTTTCAAATTATTATGATGGCTTTTTAAATAGAAGACAGAATAACATAATATGTAAAACTTATTAAAATTTTCATATTAACATATATAAAATATGACAATTAAAAATCAACTTTTCATTTTATCTTTACTTCAAAATATTCGTAAATTAATTAATTAAAAAAAAATAATTTTTTTATATATTGAAAAATATATATCATTGGTATTTGAAGTTTTATATATTTTTTCAATAGTTTATTTATATAATTATAAAATTTTATGTAATTTCAACCAAACGTTTTTATGTATTTTGAATATTTCAAAATATTTCATACAAATATTTTTATTTAGATCTGATATAATCCTTAAAAAAAATTTATTTTATTAATTAGTAACTTTGTTTTAAATGTTAGCATTTTAAATTTATTATTTATTTTCAGATGCTGTTGTATCGACTCTTGTTTTATTTTTATTGTCTAAATCAGCGATTTCTGCATCATTTCTTATTATTTATCCTTTTGCTGGAGAATTATATCCAACACAATTAAGAGGAATTGCTATAGGATTTTCAGCATATGTTAGTGGCTTAGGTTTGATAATTATACCATTCATAACATATTTGGTATGTATGGTATCTAAAAGATTATATATGAATACAATTAAAATGATATACTTAATGTTCTATGTTCTATTAAATTCTGATTTTATCTATCAATAGTCTGATAAAATTATGTCACACTATCTACAACGCATTATCATTATTTCCTGGTAAATAAAAGTTTAATAAGTTTAATTAGATAAAACTGTAAAAAAGTCCAACTTTAATTAAATAAATTCTTTAAAAATATTATTGATTTTATACCTACTTTAATTGTATCTGCAAATTACGTAATAATTAATAATAATCCGTAATAAATCTTAATTTATTTTTAATCTAATCCAAAATTATGAAATCGAGATTGAGGTTATGCTGATGTTGTAAATATCAGCCGGTATTGTCGATCATGTTCATGAAAGAACATGAGAAGATGGTGTTTGAAATCAAGTATGCTTGGTAGAAAGAATGATCATACTTGATAGAACGTAAAAGTCTTGATAGAAATTGGTGCGTAATCAATTATGTCTTTAATTATTTATGGGGGCAGTAGAACGACTAGTCACAAACAATAGTAATTAATGATAAGTCTTCGTGCTCTTGAAGGACTTAATAAAATGTATTTGTAGTCGATTATTCAATATGTTGTTGTCTGGTCTTGACAATTTGCTTGACGAATTGCGTCACTTGTGTCGACGCTTATGGGCCTGTACGGGGTCGAAGTGTTAGTTGGATAGAGCGTACTCTTTAGATTCATTAAAGACAGTTTTCTGAAGCGTGATTTTGCGCGCGTGTGACTAGCTTATTTAATAATATAAGGAGATGTATCTTGTAAACTGCCGACAAGGTATATTATTAATTTATTGAACTGAAAATTATTAACTTGTCAAGCCTATTACTCTTGATTATATTGAATTGACAAAAATAGGAAAATAATTAATTGCTCTCAATTTTTGTGCTTTATATATATTTCTAAAAATAAAATTTATTTGCAGTTATTTTTAATAAAATGAGCTTTATTAATATTTTTATTTTTTTTCAAAAGATAAATGTGAATCGTATTTTTTTAAAATAAAATATATAATTAATGTGTAATTTGTAATTAAAAATATTTATAATTGATAGCAGGTAATGTGGTACATCTAGATAGAATAATTGTCTAGAATTATATTAAAACCATCGATAGTCTGGGAGGAAGAGTGCGGGGAAGTGGAAGGGATAGTGCAGAGATTCAATATTGAATACATTTGCTTTTCGTGCATTGTATTATCGTATTGCATTGTACTTTATAAACTATACTATAACAATTGTAAGTTGATGATACAAAACGTATATAATCGCTGTTCCTTGAGACATCAGTATTGGAATGGCTTGCGACTGCTTCCCTAGACTCGGTTTGGCTGAGCGATTCTTGTTGACTGGTTCATGACTGAATAGCACCTTGATCGACTAGCTTGTGACTGAAAACAGCGCTTATCTCATTTTGCGTTTGCCTTAAATATCTACGCGGCTGCTTTGTTAGCTGAAGACAAAGGAGCCGATCATAGCGCTAGAACAATGGGTTCGACTGTGGTGCTAGAAACAATGGGGTGATTGTGTACTCATTTTGGGCATACCGACATTTCTGATTCTCTAACGATCGTTGAAGAATTTTCTTAGAAGTTATGAACGTTCAATAATTTCCTTGAAATGATAACTGTTGCAGTTTTTCTTTGAAATCGTAGCCGTTGGGATTTTTCTTCAAAGAATATATTCGAGAGATTCTCTGCATGTCGAACAATAATATTATATAATGTATATTCAAAATAAATAATATTCTTATAATTTTAATTTGTGTACTTATCCGCATGTAAATAATTGTTCGGAATTCCGGTCACCCAGTTCTTTGAAAGACCAAGATGGTTGGATTAGACCATATCCACCATTTTACTGGTGGAAGAGTGTGGAAAAGTGAGTAGTTAATGCTTCAATTCAGTAATCAACACAATTGTTTTTCGTGCTCTTTATTGAGTTTTGAATTATAAATACACAATTATGATTCTATGTTGGTGGTTGGGACTTTACCGCTCCTTATTGGTTATTTACAAGGAATTAGCGTGCAATGCAAGTCGAGGTTGGAGGTTGTAAATCTCCAGGTCCTCTTGTTGTAGAAATTACTATACTGAAAAGTGCAAGGGCGTAAATCCGTGACACTCCTTGTATAGGGCCACAGATGGTATTTTAGGTATGAGTCTCCTCTTGATGATAATATAATGATTTAATACCTCAGTGAGCCTTGGCAGTATTGTGTGTGTAGTACTTGTCAAGATGCAGTGGGCATTGTCTTCTCAATTCAGAGTACAGCTCCGATTACAATGACGTCTTACAGAAGTGCAGCGCTTCGTCCGGAGATCAGCATTTGAGGACAGTAGTCTTATACAAGGCGCGTCGCCTCGTCCGGAGATCAGCATTCGAAGACAGTAGTCTTACAAAATGCGCAGCGCCTCGCCCGGACATTAGATGGTGAGTTTGGTGGCACTTGCAGTTTAACGCGTCTCCTCATAGTTGATTCAAGCATGAATGCCCTTGTAGCTGGTGTCCTTTCGTAGACCTTCAGCCTTTCTCGGGAGCTTGGCGATCGTATAGTGCCTATCGCATCTGGGAATTGGGGGGTCATGCTGGGCACCATAAGTGCTGTACGAGGCGCACGCGTATGTGCTTTCAATATACGGTTTCTCTTTCAAATAAATTCACAGAAATTCTGGCATTACCTAATTCTGTGATGAGTGCTTAGATAAGACTTATCGTTAATTACTCTTGTGTGACTAGTCTTTCTACTGCCCCCATAAATAATGAAAGACATAATTGATTACTCAACAAGTTCCATTAAACATCTTACACCATATCAAGTATAGTTATTCCATATATCAAACAAACTTAATTCAAACACCATCTTCTCATGCTACCTCATGAGCATGATCGACTACACCGGCTGATATTTGCAACATCAGAATAACCTCAACTTCAAGATACACAGTCATATCCATAGAATCTAAGATAATCAAGACGACAAGGACCCACCCTCATTACTACAATAGAATAATCTTCTTTCTCCACAACATTGCAATATTATTATAATTATTAACAAATAATAAACATTGTTTTACTAAAATACATTATTAATTACAATTCAGCCTTTTCACTTATTATTTCCTTTAAAGTTATTCTGACGAGAGACTAATCCATTGAACTATTGAATTGGTAGTTCGAGCCATAAATTAGGCCTTTAAAATCGAACAGTATTGTTAAATGATAATTTATTTAAATGTACTTACTCTATTTTCTAATTTTATATCTTCAACAACATAGCAAATATGCTTTATATAATGTTAAACTAATCTTTGTCCATAAATATAATAAATTTGAAAGATTAAATAAAATGCTGTAAATATAAATAGAATGTACTATAATTTCATATTTTTAAAAATAATTGAAAAATAACATTACAGGGAAAAGATAATTTAATTTTACCCTTAGTGATAATGGGTATTGTCTCCGTAATCGGAGGTGTATCTGGATTAAGGCTGCCGGAAACACTTCATCAACGATTGCCTCAAACAATAGAGGAAGGAGAATTATTTGGAAATGAGTGGATTAGTCAAGACTGCTTTCGATTTAAACCCTCTAGGTATCTGTACTAATATAAAAACAGTTAATGATCAATATTATTTATCTTATATTTGATGTTGTTTCATTGTTGGTAGTATATCATTACTGTTGCATTTTGTATTTTTAAAAAAATTATTTAAATATTTATATTTAAGAATTTCTGCTAAATTTTACTTCTTGTATCTTTTAAACTCGTTTTAAATATATTTTATCAAAAAATAATCCGATCTCATTTTCTTCATCTATATTTAGTTTTGGTACCGTAGAAATAATTACCATTAGCAAGGTAGTTTCAGTACGAACCTCCAGATAATTTTTATTTTGTGCTAATGAAATAGTAAATAATATATTATCAACATTATAAAATAATTTAGCACACATATAACGAATTCTTGTTCTTATTCAATATTTAATTTAAAAAATAGTTATATATTTTTATACCGAGAACCTATTGTAATAGTGAGGGTTTTTCCTTGTGTTCTTGATTGTTGTAGATACTATTGGAATTATTGTATAACTTGAGAATTGAGGTTATGCTGATGTTGTAAATATCAACCTGTGTTGTCGATCATGCTCATGAAAGAGCATGAGAAGAGGGTGTTTGAAATCAAGTATGCTTGGTAGAAAGAATAATCATACTTGATAGAATGTAAAAGTCTTGATGGAAATTGGTGCGTAATCAATTATGTCTTTAATTATTTATGTGGGCAGTAGAACGACTAGTCACAAACAATAGTAATTAATGATAAGTCTT